ACTGACGTGGAATCCCCACACAAGACTTAAAAAACAGCCACTTAATAAGACTTGGACTACTACGAAGACTTTTAAGTCCGAAATCGACTTTGACAATTAAGACAAAACTAACACTATACAAGACTTTACTAAGACCAATATGGACATATGGAGTAGAATTGTGGGGCACTGCCAAGCTTTCCAATATCCAGCGCATCCAGTCCTTCCAATCGAAAGTCCTTAGACAAATTGTTAAAGCACCCTATTATGTCACTAACCTCACTATCCACAAAGACCTCAACATTACTTTTACCAACGAACTAATCCAGTCCAGATTCCAAACCTTCCATACCAACCTTTCAAACCATCCTAACCATACGGCCCGAGCCCTATCCACTCATTCCCATCCTGACAACCCACCACGACGCCTCAACCGACGATGGCCTCGGGACCTCCTTGATCCCTAATCATATAAACTGAGTGCCAGGAATGGCTGGCTCCTCAAAGCATGTGTCCTACCGGTGCAGTGCTGGCATTAGTGCTAGTGTTGTGCTGTGTGATATTTCATGCATGTGTACATATTTGTATAGTATACAATTCTGTATAGGTAACAAATAAATAAATTAAATTAAAAAAACAAAAAACTATACTATTCATATTCAACAGCAACACCAACTTATAACTTAATATCAAAAGGCCGGCCTAAACGGCCCATAGTGTTAAAGGCCATTCAATAATAATAAAAAAAAAAGACTTAATCTCGACAATAAAATAAATAAAATGTCTGTTTTAACAGTTTTAAAAATAAATAAGTATATATTTTTAAATCCTCCTTTTCTTTACTGTCATCGGTTGATATGTCTTGTTTTCTAAATATATATTTTTAATATATGGATTTATTGAATCAAATATTTCTTGATGCATTAAAAAGTATAACTATAACATTAAAAAAAAGAGTCAGTATGGAATGGGTATATCAATTCAATAAATGAAAAGAAACGTTCTTTGGCAGGGATCCGGAAGCAGAGCTGTAATCTCTCATCGTCCGTCTATACAAATCATTTACAACCACGTAATCCACGTAGATTGTAACAAGTTGAAAAATTGCTAGCTACTGCTTAGCTACTGAAAAGCCGCACAAAGATGATTTTTAGAAAGCAACATGATAAGCTTTGCTTTCATTTTAATGTTTTTACCAAGCATAAAATTATACCAGATTAAGGAACATATTTAATTTCAGACTAGAGATTTTGAAAAACTAATTTTAACTAGACTTGAAATGACCCAAACTCTCTCACCTTTTATATTATTATTTTATTTTAAAACAATTTAGTCATACATAATTGTTACGTTATTTCACAAATTAGTCCTATTGTACGAACATAACAAAGGCATAAATGTGTAGTTATGTACATGCATAATATCTGTATAATTTGAGCAATTAGTCTGTATTCGGTTCATTGATGAAACAGTTGCTGTCCTTAGCAATGGCCCGTTAACTGAGGTTGGAAATAGCAGATGATAGCCACAAAGTGTTAACAAAAGAGGATGAGCCCACCATATCGACAAACAATGTCAGGGAAGAGTCGAAAACATTTAGAGTGAGCCGGGAGGCATTTAGTTTCTGACATGCTCCTGCCATCCCATGATCCCCCGCCGTTCGCTGCGTGTCTAAGGTTAATGGGCTTTGTGTGTGCCTACACTTTATGGGTTAGTTGGCCCGGAGAAACCCTGTCTGAGGCAGTACTTCTCCCATTACTAACCTAAAACAGCTCTCGGATTTAATTGTCTGACTGTCACATTTTGAGGAGGGATGGCCCTGCTACTTCATTTGCGAACAATTTAACCGCGAACTCAAAGGATATATATTTTGTTCACTGTTAGCACACATTAACTAAAACATCACGGAACCCAGGTCAATCCTCTTCTTGATAAATATAAAATTAGCGAGAAAACGAGAAGATAATTCTAAAGGAACATAATTACATCACAATCAACAACTTTATGTGGGAAGGTTAAATAATTCTAAATATTAGATATGTGATTGTAAATATTTTAAGAAAATCATAAAATATAATATATAATATGTATAATATATATAATATATAAAATATATAATATACATAATATATAATACATAATATATGATATATGTAATATATATATGATATATATAATATATATGATATACATAATACATAATATATATGATATATATAAGATTTTGAATAATTTATCATTTGGTTATATAATTTTGCAGAGAAAGGTTGCTCGATGTTTCCCACATACTGGAAACATGTCATGCCTTGGCTCCCTACAAGGAGCGTGAAGGCATGCCATCCATTCTGAAATGATACTCGAAAACTGCAGCGGGTTTCTGGGTCTCCTGTTCCGCTTTTTAGGGGAATTTTTTTTTTAAATTGTATATAATTTGTCTTGTGTGTTGTGTGTCTATATGTTTTGTCTGAGTGCATGTATTTATTAGCGTGAATGGGTAAATAAATATATAGGGATTGGAATGACCTAGATGTCGGAAGCCCCAGTAAAAAAAAAGAAAAAAAAAGAATTGAATTGTACAGTCCTGAGTGGAGAAGTCGCTCAGTAGTGACACTCTGATATAAGTAAACAAAAGCTATCGCTCAGAATAAGATCAGGGGTCCATAGGTGTTTCAGTCCGCGTTAAACACGACACGAAGTGTAGCAGAGGAAACTTCAGTTTTTAAGTGCTAAGTCCAGTGAGCGAGGAGAGGAATTTGTTGATTTTCTATTTGATTGATTGGGAAATATAAGGGATGTTGAAGTCATACTCACGGGCTCATTGATACATAATGAGCATTTGCGATTCAACGGATCGTTTTTGGACTGTAAGGATTCGATGTCGATTTATTGTAGATTAGGCTTTGTAACGGGTGGTTTGGATCGTCTGTCTAAGATTCGAGAGAGAAGTTTTATCGTATTAAGTACTTATTCAGAAATCGTGAGAGGCGGTCTGTTGTGATATAGGTTTCAGAAAAACATTTTCTTTATCGTGCAAACGTTTCGATCTTTATTGAGATCATCCTCAGGGCCTTGTGTTGTCTGCATTTCAGAAAAAAAGTTCTCTGGTTGATAGCCGATGCGAGTTTCTTCTCATTGTTGGCGATGTCCTTCAGAATACTTTTACCGTCGTGTCCATATGTAGTTGAAATTTGTTCATAGAATCCAGAGTTGGGCAAAATCTAACTAATTCAATCATGTTTAAGAATTTTGATTGAAGTTTAATCATGACTAATTCATGATTCATGATTAAACTTCAATCAAAATTCTTAATCATGATTGAAGTAGTTAGATTTTGCCCAACTCTGGCTACAATGACCAACTTACCAAAATCCAACACACTCCGGATAAAAATTTTGAGATGAGAGTCGTGCTTAAGGCCAACATACAAAAAGTGTTATCATAAACAAAAATCAAAGTTACATAATTATTCTACATGTCTATTTTATTACATTCAAGACACCGAGATGGTGTATTGTCCAAATAATGTAGAAATCTCTCCTTTTAAGTGGAATAAATTTTAATCAAAGAAATACTTTTTCCATTAATCAGTTATGTAAACATTTACTTTTCAAAGCGTAGCTTGTTCTTTTTATTTTATTTTATTAATATCATTATTTTTTGGTTTTTCATAAGAACGTAGTTTTACTTATAATTGAAAGATTGATTTTGTTAAATAAGGTGTTGAAGGATTTTCGTATTGATAAAATAAATTTCTGTTAGAAAATTTTTTAAAAGTGATGAAGTTGTGTATTTTTCATTTTTTGAGCACCTATTTCAACATGATTTATCAAAATTTAGTCATGACTAACTATATTGTGACTAAATTAGTCATGCCTCATATTTAATTATTAATCATGACTAATTTAGCCATCAATCACATAAGGTGACTAATGACTAAATAGTCACTTACTACCAATCATGACTAACGGTCTGAGTGATCAATCATTAGTCATTAGACATGACTAATTTTTGCCCAACACTGATAGAATCCCATGTTCTTCGTTCTTCTCGTGTAGAAATGCGTGGTGATAGTGACCGTTAATCGGTATAATAACCTGGGTGTTTGCCTACAATGTCGAAACGTTGGCACGATAAAGAAAATGTTTTTCTGCAAGCTACATCACACCAGACCGCCACTCACGATTTCTGAATAATTATCGATTAACGGTCACTAATCACCACACGTATTAAGTACTATTAAGTATTGTTAAGTACCTATCATTCAAGTCAGTACAAAGATACCACGAAAGGCGTTTGTCGGCCCTAAGTAGCGAACACAGTTTGTCGTGGGTAGAGGAACCCGGTTGAAGGAGGCAGAAATGCTTTCCGTAATGTTAATTATGCGTACATGTGTGTGTGCATATATATATACATATATATATATATATATGTACTTAACATTCAGCATAACATATTCTCTTAATGATCATACAAACAGTTTTTCTTTGTACTTTTTGTACTTTGTAAGTAGAGAAAGAGGAACGGAAGTGAACAACAAACGCAACACAACTTACTTTGAATGAATATAAAAAATATATTTTACATTGTATAAATTCACTTTTTGCCATTTCCTACATATATTTGTTAAATTTAAACAATGTTTGTAAATCCAAGGCCCTGAAGATGATCTCAATAAAGATCGAAACGTTGGCCCGATAAAGAAAATGGTTTTCTGAAAGCTACATCACACCAGACCGCATCTCACGATTTATGAATAATGAAGTTACAATATTTAAATGGTCAAGCGTATAAAGATCGGCAACCGCGGCCATATATTAATCAACGAAGAATTATTTCACCTAAAAAACACAACAATTACTAAAGGCAAAGACGTCAAGTTCGAAACCCGTTTTCAACCCAACACGTTTACATTTACGTATTCAACCAATACGTTTAAAAAAAAATTATTTTTCAACAGTGTATTTTAACCTGGGAATATTTATATTCGTAGATTAATAACCTTTGCTTTTCGTGTGTTTCAGCCGGAGGAGTTGAACACCACGGGTTGCCAATAATCTTGTACGTTCATGGGGAATCTTACGAATGGAATTCTGGCAATCCGTACGACGGCAGCGTGCTGGCGAGCTACGGTCATCTCATAGTCGTGACGATTAACTTTCGCCTCGGCATCCTAGGTAAGGTGATCCCGGGAACCGTAGTTCCACCCCGTCGAACAATAGGGAAAACATTCTGTGTAATTATTCCCTCCGACCACCGTTTCTGAACAATGCCTCCTCCTCGCCGAGGCCGCAAATAAAAGTAAACGCAATTAGTGACACTGGGGACTTAGCGGACAAAACGCAAATACAATAGTAAGCTTCTTTCCTACAATACAATGGCAGAAATGAGCCGGGAAAACTCAATCTGACCAAACTTTGGATAAACTAGTTATCTAAAATGCGGGATAGGATTAGCAATTTTTCTTACAATAAACCGGGCTTAGCTTTATAATAATTGTGTTATGAGTATGATATAATTATGAATTAATTGTCCATTTCCTTAATCCCAAATTTATCTCGACTAACATTGAAATATATTTTATACGAGTAAAAATGTATATAAATAGATAAAACGAAAATATTACTGTACAAATTCAAAAGGTCAATTTTTGATGCACAACTTACAATTGGAAAAAATAAATAACGTATTATGTACATATTGGTCCAAATGACCAAAGTAATTATTTTAATTCTTTGCATGGTTGAGTTGAAAAATTATTGTCATGAGTGAGGCTCGAACCGAAGACCTCTGGATCAGTACGAGCCCTTCTACATCAAATGTTGGTGTCTCGTTATTCAGGAAAATTCCAACAAGGCATTGGAAAGGGCTCGACGGATTCCTGGTCATATTGTTATTCTGAAAGTATATAAAGTAAATAAAATTTGATTGTGACAAAATTGTCATAAATCATAAAAAACAACTAAATATTATATTGAGCAATATAATATAAAATTTAATGAAAAAAAAAGTACGCTTTATAATAAAATGTAAATATTCGTATCTTTTTTTTTAATATGAAAAAGACAAATCTTTTAAAAAATCCATGATTCATAATAATGTTTTGTCACATTTGTTTTGCAATGTTATTTTTCATTAAGGTACATTTTCACTATATTTTCCTTAGTTTTCTTCGTGACGTACGGTTTTTCTTAAGCTAACAGGACTTAAACATAAATTGACATAAAGTTAAATTTGAATTGCTGAATTTAGAAACTAGTTAGCACAGCTTCTGTAGTTCCATGAACTTTTAAGATATTTTCTTTATGGCTTTATTTCTGTTCACGCATGAAAAATATTCATTCAGTGCATTTTATGTTGTGGTAACGCGACAAATAAATTTTTTTATGTTTAAAGTTTTATTTAACAAAAAACAATCGTAAAAGTTATAGAAATGATGAAGATGGGGTGATTACGAAGGCCAATTCAATTTTTGTAATTGGACCTGGAGCTGTGCTAATGGTCCGTCGGTGCCGAATTCTTTATTGGATGGAATTTGATGCTAAATCAAAAAGATATTTCCTTCACGAAACGCCTCCCCTTGTTTGAAGTAAGAAGTAGGACAAGAAGTGAATCTTAAATGTTTATAAGACTACTTGCAAGTACATATATGTCGTGATAAGCGTCGTGCCTTAACGGTTGAGGTCACCGAGTTTATTACGTTTAAAAGTTTATAGTTTAATAAAAGAAGAAGATTTTTTATACAAGTGCCTCTCTATTAACTGAAGCAGAAGTTTTATTTGTTTTGTCTGGTGTTTATTTCGTTTAAAAGTACTTTTCTTTTAATGAAGTAAACTAAGTGAAATAAAATTAACCTCTAATTACAGGCTTATGTATTGTTTAAATATTCTTTTATTTCTGAAGATAACAGGCCATTGTATTTAACAGTATTTAAATTTTAAAGAATTTTTTCATGTGTAAAATTACATCTGCTGGAATTAAAACCTGTTTGAATTCACGCAAACAATCAATGATGAGGTTCGATCGCAAAGCAGTAGAAGAATTATTATTTTTCTTTTTTTTTTAAATATAAACTATACGATTTTTTTCGCTTTGGACATCAATTTATATCCATTTTTCTTAATTTTATCGAACTTTTGTAAGTATTTTCTTTGTAAGTTCGATAAACTTTACAACTAGTAATCAACATAGTCTTGCGTCTTCTATGATAAAAGCGAATTTGCATTAGATTCTCTAAGCCCTCTAAGCCCGACGTTCTCCTGTAATCCGGTGGACGATGATTGTATAGACGTTATTCTGGAGGAGTTCGGTATTAAGTTGGTCTGATGACAAAACCGGTATTATTGGCCCTGGGGCGGTTTGCTAATGGCCTGTTGGTGCAGAATTCTGTTTTGGATGGAATTTTGACGCTTAAATCGAAAAGTTGTCTCCTGCTCCTTCACGAAACGCCTCCCTTTCTTTGAATATGCAAGCAGCCGATTTAATCACGACAAGATGAAACTCCCCCCTGTTCAAGATTTACCTTAACATGTGAAGCAATTAAGCCCGTCAGGAAAGGGAACTTGGAGAGACTCATTTTAAATTGATGCGGCCGGTAATTAATTAAACATTTATTCGCTGCTTTACATTTATTAAAATTAAACATTACAATGTCCGACTCAATTAACAGAAGTAATTAACTTATATTGTCATACGTTTACATTTTGGACGAATAATTTCGAACGTGTTACGTTACTGATATTTTTTGTTTGCGACTGTTTAAACGAATAATTAATTTTAACCTTTATTATGGACTTGAATAATCGAATTATAATTGGATTGCCGAAAATGTAGCTTCATAAGTTATCTCTCGCTTAATGTAAATTTTCCTGTGTACACAAACATTTATTGTGTGTATCGATTTTTCTTGCCCAGACAGCAGGAGATATTTCTACTATTAGAAATAATTAATTAATCTTCATGTAAGGTATTGGTTGAGATAAATTTTTCGGTTTCGGTCAATCGGACTACGAACTCTAATGAATTAGACATAATATTATTACTACTACTATCATTACTATTACTACAGGAAAATGCCCGTTAATTAATTAAGGGAGGTGTTAATAAAAATAAAATATATAATTATTCAGATATTGAGAGATGCGGTCTGGTGTGATATAGGTTTCAGAAAAACATTTTCTTTTCGTGCCAACGTTTCCATCTTTATTGAGATCATCTTCAGGGCCTGAGAATTACAAACATTGTTTAGATTTAACAAATATATGTAGGATGTGGAAAAAAGTGAATTTATACAATGAAAAAAAAATTTTTTTTATATTCAATCAAAGTAGTTCTACTCACTCAAAGTTTGTTTTCTGCGTAACTGTAAACATTGTTGTTATAAATCCCAGGCGCTGAAGATGATCTTCTTAAAGATCGAAACGTTGGCACGATAAAGAAAATGTTTTTCTAATACCTACGTCACACCAGACCGCATCTCACGATATCTGAATAATTGGATTAATATTATCTTTTTAAATATTTGGTAATCGATCGACTAACGGTCACCAATCACCAAACGTAAAATATATAATTTAAATTTAGTATATTACATAAATTTAATTTATTACATTATATTATTTATTATATATATTTATATTATTTTATAATATATAAAATATGTTTTATATTATATATATTAAATTTTATATATATTATATTATTTTTTTATTTTTTGTTATATTTTTTATTATTATATTATATTATGTTATTATGACGACAATGAGTTGTCCCCTAACCTGAACACATGTTGTTTCAGTGACCCAGTTTTTTTTAAAATTTTTTGAATTTGATCTTTTTAAATATTTGGTAAGTTACTTTAAGTGTTGGACAATAAACGTTGTGTTTCACGTTTCTTTGAGCCATTGAACAGAAATGTAAATTTGTAAGCGTTCTCCAATCATGAATCGGCTAAATTGCACAAACTTTCAAAATGATGGCCCGATGGAGGAACTGAGAATTCTGACAGCGGAAATAAGTTTTATCTGTTAGCTTGTTATGTGCTAACCATCTCTGACTTAGCCAAAAAAAATACAAGGCTTTAGAAAACCGTGCAAAATAATTATTGAAAAGAGAGCAGATTTGAAAAATAAAACAAAAGAAAGATAAACCTGAAGCTTTTATGTGATATTCACATGGCTAAAAGTTTAAAAAAGGGTTAATGTATGGATATGAAACTCTCTAATTCCCTATAAATCTGGGACCTTCACTGAGTCCAACACTAAGATGGCGGTCATGAGGAATTTCAGACACCGAGGCAGCAGTCATACTTGCTGAGTAAGTAGCAACGGAGCATCCATAGTCCCAAAGCATTCTGTGGCATAAATAACAGCCAAAACAAAAAAATAACTAAAATCTTGAGTAACTACAAGAAAACAAAAAAATTCTGTGAATGTATGCCATGCTGGAGGCAGGTAAAAAGATTCCTCAACGGGAGAAAAACGAAAACTAATTGAAAAGAAAATAGCTTATATCACCTTTAAAAAGTGGGACTATCGTAAAATGGCCAATTTCGAATATGTCTAGAGGTAATAGCAGATATCCTCTGCAACTGCCATGCAATAACTAACGAAGAGGTATGGGACCTGGGACAGGCAATCATGTGCAATAGAGCACTAGATGTTATTCACCTGAGACGAATTTCATTATTCTGTATTTCATTAAAATTTGGTTTCATTGAGACTAACCCTTGATTTCGTGAACCGTTTTCCAAAGATTTGAATTGTCGTGTAGGATTCTGAAAGCTACTGGGTCTAGGTTTGTTGATTGTCTGAGCATAGACGTCGAGGAGCATGGGTCTCTGTGACCTCTGTTCTATCCCACCATTGGTGGTTCATTATTGGCTTCTTCAGATCATTCTATGACATTATGTTTGGTTTTTCTTTTTTTACATTTTCTAAAATCATGTAAATCCTGATGTCTTGGGAATTATCGATCATTTCGTGTTAGCATTAACCTATGTTTCTTTATGGTTATATGAAATATTTTGGACAGCTTGTAAATTCACTGTCTATCTTCATCTTGTTTGACTTTTTGAATTTAGAAGATCATGATTTATGAAATATAAATGCCAGTAATCATCAAACCACGTTACCAAATATTTTGTAGCGTTGGATAAATACACACAATAATTATTATT